TGGATTCCCAACCTCGTGGTCCCGGGTTCAATTCCCCGTCGCGGCGGTCGTAACAATGCCTGCGTTCCGACTGTTGGCTCGGAACTATTATCATTATCGTTATTATCATTAAACTGTAATAGTTATTGTTGTTCATTTAACTACCACTGTTGTTATTATTATTATTATTGATATTATTATTATTATTATTATTATCCTTATTATCATTATTATTATTATCATTATTATTATCATTATTATTATTATTATTATTATTATTATCATTATTATTATCATCATTATCATTATTATTATCATTATTATTGTTATTACTATTATCTTTAACATCATAATTATTATTACAATTATCATCGTTATCATTATTATTATACTTTAACTACGACTATTGTTATCATTATCATTATTATAGACACACAGAGAGAAAGAAATACTATTGATATTACAAAAAATTATGATTTGTATTATTATTGCTCTTATCATTATTATAATCATGATTATTACTGTTACCATCAACATTATTTGTATTATCATTATTATCATTATTATTGTTACTATAATATTACCAATATTATTACCACTTTTATTATTATCATTGTTATTATTATTATTATTATTATCATTGTTATTATAGTTATTATTGTTGTTATTGTTATTATTATTATTATTATTATTATTATTATTATTATTATTATTATTATTATCATTATTATCATCATTCTTATCATAATTACTGTTGTGATAATCATTATTGTAGTAATAATAATAATAATAATAATAATAATAATGATGATAGTAATAATAATAATAATAATAATAATAATAATAATAATATAATATAATATATTATTATTATTATTATTGTTATGTAACAAAACAGCTACCGAGTCGGCCAACCAGAACCAGCCTACTGATCATCAATGTTTCTAACCAAGTGGCCTGTTGCTGCCTTTCTGCATAGCTGCCGACCTGAGTGAGCTCTGACCTCGAGAGGGGGACGTTATCTCCTTGGAGAACACTCGTGAACCGCCAAACACGAGCAGGTGTCAAGAAACACCTGTTAACTTTTCCCTAAGTCAAAGAAGGTTTACTCTGGTCTCGATCCCGGGTCCTGCAAATGGGAGTTAGAGACGCTACCGATGCCGCCGCCGCAATCTAAGCGATGCAAACCAAATCGGGCCTTTTATATTCCCAACTCGGATAAGGACGCACACCTCCTCCCTCACCGGAATTCTAAAGTAAGTTATCCCTGCCTTTCAAGTGGCGGGGAAAACGACAGCGCTTCATTGTGGTCAAAGAAAACAGCTTTATTTTAGGGAAGACTAAAATAGAAACTAGCGTGATCTTAGATATACGAGAGAATCAAATACATGTTTTGTTCATTTGCGCGATGAAGGTCACCAGCTCAACTGGAAAAACAAAGATAAATTGATTCATAGATCAGCTAATTAGTACGAAAGAAACATGTTAGAATCTCTATTAATTAGAAAAATGCCTAATCTTGAGTGCTGGTCAATGGGGCTTGGATGACCTTACCTCCTCGTTAGTTAGCAAAGCGTTCCCTCGAGTCTTCAACCTTGACCCTCCTTCTGAGACCTGATTCGGCTCTTGTTCGTTCTGTCTCTCAACCAATATATATTCTTGTCAAAACTCTCTCCTTGTATCCATTTCGGTTTATTCGTCTGAAGAGGAACTCGTGAAGAGTTCCAAACGTTACGATTCATATTCATTTCTTGCAGTGGCTGTTTTCCTCTTCATATATAAATATATATATATATATATATATATATATATATATATATATATATATATATATATATATACATATATATATACATTTTTATATATATATTTATATATATATATATATATATATATATATATATATATATATATATATATATATATATATATATATATTACATATATATATATATATATATATATATATATATATATATATATATATATATATATATATATATATATATATATATATGAATAATATTTCTCTCGCTCTCTCTATCTCTCTCTCTCTCTCTCTCTCTCTCTCTCTCTCTCTCTCTCTCTCTATATATATATATATATATATATATATATATATATATATATATATATATATATATATATATATATATGTATATATATATGTATATATAAGTATATATACATACATTTATTTAAATATATATATATATATATATATATATATATATATATATATATATATATATATATATATATATATATATACATATATATATATATATGTACACTTATATATATATATATATATATATATATATATATATATATATATATATATATATATATATACATATATATGAATAATATTTCTCTCGCTCTCTCTTTCTCTCTCTCTCTCTCTCTCTCTCTCTCTCTCTCTCTCTCTATATATATATATATATATATATATATATATATATATATATATATATATATATATATATGTACATACACATTTATATATATGTATATATAT